ACATGTTGAATGTAGCCACTAAATGCTGTTTAATGAGGGCAGGCTAAACAACATCAAAATTGCTTGAACTTAAATTATACCTTACCTGTTTGAACTACATTTTTATATTTCATCTTTAGTTGCTGCCAAGTCCGTTTGGTGGGTTGCACCTGTGCGCACAAACACACATATGGAATATAATTGTTGAATGGAACATTCAAGACAAAACATTTCTTTTTTTCTCCAATTAATACTCACGCATTGACTCGGTCAGCAATTTTCTGCCATGCGAGCTCCCGCTCTTTTGCTGCTGCCACAGTAATGCTTTTTAAAAAAAATATTTGCTCACTTTCTGCATATGCATATATGTCATTAATATTTTCAACTCCACTGGGAAGAAGTAGGAGGATCGAGGCTTTTTGTCACTTGTTGCCATGGTGAATCATGTTATTTGTGTTCCATTGATGAGGGCTTTTTATATCCTCATGCACGGGCTTCACTCAGGGTTACCTTGACTGAGAGTTGATTGAACTAAGTGTTATCACCTGTTCTGAAACCGAAAACTCAGAGTTTGACAGCTCAGAGTTGGTCAACCTAGAGTTAAGGTTTTAACTCAGAGTTTGTTAAACCTGCTTTCTGAAACGGGCCCCAGGTCTAGACCGAACTCCTTATAACATAAAATGATGAGAAATGTCAACACGTTAAGAACTGTATCTGCTTACATCGTATTGCACCATATTAAAATGCAACAGTGCTACTCCACCTTGGAGTTTGACCACAAGTTCTCATCCACATCACACCTCATGTCCTCTTGTGATACACCAGGGAAAGAATCTCTCTGTATGGCTGAGCCATTTAATCTTCCGCCAGCTTGAGTAGAGGAAAGACTGGAGGTGGCTGAAAGCTTTTTGTTGTTTTTTAAGATGATTTTCTTTGCTTGTGATTTTTCATTCAGTCTGCTGTGTGTCTACATGTATATCATGTATGACCCAGAGCAATTATGATGTAGTGGCTTGGTGGTGTTATTTATTTTGTCAATGAAGACTCCTTCTTTTCCTCCTCCATCGTCCATCTTTTCCTCAGTCTGCCCCTGCTTCTTCCCCCTGAGAGTGCTTTGTCACTCCTGCTCTGTTCTTCCCTCAGCAGTGCCTTGGTTAATATACCATGTAATCAGATTGTACCCACTCCCGGTGTTTGTGTAGTATCTGCCTCTCGCTCTTTGTTTGGTGGCCAAAATCAAAGTGCAGCCCACTCAATGATGCAGAAAGTGCTTAATGTGTCTCAGGAGACTGTGGTTTTCAACAGGAGGTTGGGATCTCAAGCTGATGGCGGGTTAGTTCATTAGTAATATTTTACTGCCTCATTGCACAAAATGAACATATTATATCAGTGGGTGTGCTTTCTGCACACTCCACAACCCAAAGCATTTCAACACATGCCCAAACTCTCAACTCAAACCAGGTTCTGGGCCAAGATTTCTCCAGGAAAAAGTAGTCCCTGGAATTTTTCTTGCCAGTGAACAAATATAAAAACAATTACTATTTTTGTATTTTGTTTTCCTATCCCTTGATATTCAGATTGTCAAAAGCAACCAAAATACACCAATTCAATTCAATTCAATTCAATTCAATTCAATTCAATTCAATTCAATTCAATTTTATTTGTATAGCACCAATTCATAACAGAAGTTATCTCAGGACACTTTTCAAATAGAGCAGGTCTAGACCGAACTCTTTAAAACATTATTTACAGGGACCCAACAGTACCACCATGAGCAAGCACTAGGCGACAAGGGCAAGGAAAAACTGCCTGTTAAAAAGGCAGAAACCTAGGACAGATCCTTCGGCTCTAGGTGGGTGGTCGTCTGCCTCGACCAGTTGGGGTGAAAGAGGGAGAGAGAGAGAGACACACACACACACAGAGAGAGAGAGAGAGAGAGAGAGAGAGAGACAGGTGCACAGCAACAACAGTATTGGCAATGGCAATCTAGCAGGACCATGGCAGGAGTCTCCACCAGGATCGATAAGAACCTGCAAGACGAGAAAGCACAAGAACCTTGCAAGTGTCAATGCCAGATTTCAGGCACCTGACCTTTTATATTTTTTTTTCTGTTGAGCAGAGATTACATTGTTGGTGATGTTATTTTCTCAAACTTTCCCTTAATTTTACAACTTGTTCAGGTTGTAAACCGGTGTGCTTATTATTTAATAATATCATTTTAATTAAAATTCTAATTTGTTTTTTCTAATTCATTCTAATTTAGGGAAACAAAGTTTGTCATAAGAACTCTGGAACAAAGTCTTAATGACCAGTATGTAGGATTTAGTGGCATCTAGTGAGGACGTTGCAGATTGCAACTTTTGACACAGCTCAGCCTTCCAAACATGTAGGGGAAACTACAGTGGTTGAAACTTGCGAATAAACTGAAAGGCTAGAGCCAGTATTCGGTTTGTTCATTCTGGACTACTGTAGAAACGTAGCAGTTCAAGATGACAGACTCTGACTCAGACCCTCTGTAGATAAAAACAGGGTAAAAAAAAAAAAGCACAATGATTCTTATTTTCCAGTGATTATACACTAATGAACATACCTATGAATATAGGTTCCATTTCTTATAATAGATCCTCCTCAATGTTACACACTGGTCCTAAAGTTGAACCAACCAATTACAAGGCTGCACTCACATTGGATGGAGACCCGTGATTCACAGCCAATATTTGTTGTAGTTTTTTAAAGGTCCAGTTTGTAACATTTAGGAGGATCTATTGGCAGAAATGAAATATAATATTCATACGTATGTTTTCATTAGTGTATAAATAGAGCTGTTTTTCTTCCATGGAGGCCGCTACATTGGTAAATGGTAAATGAACCTGTACAGCGCCTTTCTAGTCTTCCGACCACTCAAAGCACTTTTACACTATGTGCCACATTCACCCTTTCACTCAGTGATGGCAAAGTCCATCGAACAGAAACTAACTCATTCATACACATTCACACACCGATGCACGGGAGCAATTTGGGGTTCAGTATCTTGCTCAAGGATACTTCGACACGTGGCACCAGGAACCCGGGATCGAACCCACAACCTTCCGATTAAGGAACAACCCCCTCTGCCTCTGAGCCACAGCCACCCACGTTGAACTGCCATGTTTCAACACTGGCTTAAGAAAGCATTTCGCTGCCACTGTAGTTTATCCTTTGCTCATCACAGCTCATTCACAGGTGTTCAGGTAATTTCAATCTGCAACTTCACCCCTAGATTCCAGTAAATCCTACACACTAGTCCTTTAAGTGTCTGTTGTTATAAAAAAGAAAAAGTTCTAAGATCAAATAAAAGACATCCAAGTAAGTACAATACCTGAGCACTCACACCATAGGAAGTGATGTCAGAGTAATGATTCAAATATATTGGTGCAGACTAGCTACGGAAACAAAAGGAAAATCAATCTGACACTGAAATGGCTGCTGCATTTACTGCCTGTGTGTGTAGACATGTCCTCAAAAATGTCAAATAGCAAATGGAATACAACGTGTGTGACAGTGTTTGTGTTCAGCAGATATGCATCAGTTGAATGAATGGCTGTGTGCGTGTGTGTATGTGAGAGAGAGATGCATGGTAGGATAAAGAAACAATGAAATATCTGTGACCACAGACCCATAATGTTCCTATCAATATCTTGCTGGCAGAATGTCAAACAATAGCTTGCAGATAGAATATTTGAACAAACGGAACTGAAAAAACACAAACCTGGCATTTGTGTTTTATGTTAAAAAATAGAGCATTGAATATAACAGGTAAGTGAGGGAATGACCTACAACAAACATCAAGATCCAGAGTCATAGTATGGAAAAAAAACACTGGGCTTTCATCTGTTTTAAAGTATGCTCAGACTAAACATGAAGATACATTTGAGGTGGTAGGCATTTAGGGTGTATATAGGATGAATGCAATCATCCAAGTTGTTTTCAAGACCAAGTGAGTATACGATTTTTGGCGCAATTTACACCATTGCTATTGACTGCATATAGATATAATACCTTTGCATTTAGGTATAGATAAAGTACTTTTGCTGGTGTGAGGTGAGCATATGAGAGAACAGTGCAGCATATGAATGCTGAAGCATTTTAAACATGCGCTGACACCTTATGTTTTTGCAAATTTGTGCCACAAAATGTCTTCAGTTTTATTGAGCAAGTATTTTGGAATTTGACTCTTTTTGGTCGCTCTCAATGTACCTATACAAAAGATTTAGAAAAAGATAAAAATAGACCAAGTAAAATGCAAGGACAACAAAGATGAACATAGATATGTAAAACCAATCAGAGCTATTATGAACATTGTGCATCCCCTCGAGCCTTTGCATTGATTTACAGGCAGTATTAATATCTAAAATTCACTTTGAAACTTAACACACCCTTAGGTTAGAATTAAATTTCTTTCAGAACTGAAGCCAATTAAGTTTAATAGTTAAATACAAACCAGTTTCTCAATTGCTCTGCTCAAAAATATTGTTGAAAATTGAACAGAAGTCACTCGTCACTGGAATCAAGAGGATTCATGATCACAACATGGCAACACATCAAAAACTACTAGCTTATGCGTTAGCCCATTGCTGACTCTTTCACCAAATTTATCTAAAATCTATTTACAAGTTCCTAAAAGGTACCTAACAAACCACTAAAGTGCCTACTATCCTATTGAGGCAGAGTGGGTCATCCCCTAATCGGAAGGTTGTTGGTTCGATCTCGGCTCCTCCTGCCACGTGTCGAAGTATCCTTGAGCAAGACACTGATCCCCAAATTGCTCCTGATGTTGTGCATCGGTGCGTGAATGTGTATGAATGAGTTACTTTCTGTTCGATGGACTTTGCCATCACTGTGTGAATGTGTGTGAAAGGGTGAATGTGGCATGTAGTGTAAAAGCACTGTGGTCAGAAGACTAGAAAGGCGCTATACAAGTACAGGTCCATTTACCATTTAAAACATTTTCAAGAATAAAGAACACAGTGGACACTAGCTCATGTGGTCCCACAGTTTTATTGGTTCCAACAGCACTGACAGCTGATATGGTTGAAGTAAAAATGACAGATGATGAAGACGGAATTGAGAAGTGGTTTCCAGTCATTTATTGGAAATCACATGTACGGTAAATTATGAACATACGATTAGCGTTTATATCGTTTCACTGTAACAGCATATTAGAGAGTACAACAGCAAAAGTATAAATACTATTTTCAAGTTAATGGCAGGAAGACTCTTGGACGACTGTGGTAAATGAGCATGTTTTAAAAGCCATTTAGTAAAACGAAGGAAATCTAAAATAAAAACTGTTTTGAGTAATAATTAGAAAAGAATCTGCTGGCACATTACTAAACACCCTAACCCTCACATTCCAATTACAGAAACGTTGTCTGAAGACAGCAGCACTTCTCAGAACACAATGCTGAAATGATTGTTAAAACTAAGGCTATATATGCCCTACAGGGAATATATTAAAAATCCCATATGCACACAGTAACATATATATGTAAAGATAAGGCAACTTTGTATTGTGGTTGGATGATTAGAAAGGCTAGCCATTCTTTACAATGTTCTCATTAAATATTAATGTTCACACAGCTTGTACCCCCTGAAAACCAAACTGCTAACACGGATGCTCAAGGGCCAACAGTGACACTGAGCAGCTCCCAGTATTCACTGATTTACTGGGCAGCTTCCATTGTGAATGTGAAAGGTCAAATAAACTGAATATTGAGGTGCATCTGTATTAGTCTGAAACCATGTTTGAAGGAGGAAAAAAAATATTTCAGGTTTTCACCTGGTCTGAAAGCCATGAGAAGATCTGATGGAACACAAAAGATTTTAAAATCAAACACTCAAGAAAGTGTGTTCAGTGTACTTGTGAATTCCTAAACCCAAAGGGAGTTTTAAAAGAAAAAAATGTGAAAGCACCATTTAAAGACCCTCCACCAGAGTCAGCCACAAAGGGTGAAGCATCAAATTAAAGTATCTTGAATATCTGGTTAATCAAAATATCAAAAGATGTCAAGGTGTCCTTGAGTTTTCCTTTGGACAAAGCAGGGGGCAAGAAGACAGAGAAAAGAGGCATCAAAGTCCCTTTCAATCATGTCAGTCTTCCTCTGCTTCCCCGCCTCATTCAGCAGCTCCCCAAGGTGAGTCGTTTGCGTTTTCACTTGGTCGCGCTGTTAAGCATTCCAGGGTGGTTAATGGAATTAAAATCAATGACAATCTGAGTCCTCTTGGGCTTGAACTGCCTGCCAAAACCCAGAGGAAAAAACATGCGCATAAGAACAGGAAAAACAGGCACACCAAATAAAAACAAGGATGAGGAAGAAAGTCGCCTTTCCATTGTCACCTACACCTCCTCACACACACTAGCTCGCCTTGTCCGCCTCTTTCTGCTCCTCTCTCTACATATAATACGTGTACATTTGTGTCTGCTCTGTTGACTCTGTCAGCAGTATGTTTTATAAAGTTCCACAAGAAACGACACACATTTTGGTTTTGGTGGAGGATTTGGTTTTAGTTTTGGAGGAAGCTTGTTAATGATGTCAATCTATCAAAAAACAAAACTGTTGTTTTAACTGGTCTCTGCTGGTAAAATATCCACCATGTTTCTCTGTAAAATGCTAAAATAGAGGTGCCAGCCACTAATATCCTGGCTGAAGGCCAAACTAAATCTAGGTGGGAATGACTGAAAAAGTGCTATTTTGGAGGTAAAAATAAATGTTATATAATATAAAAATAACATAAAGGTTAACTGATCTATGTGGAGTGAGATAATCAGTTAATTTGAGGAAAACCAAGGTTTAAATATATTAGCACAATATCAAATACTGGTACTGCCCTGTAATACTCTGACCAACATCTTTAGCTCTTTAGCTCTACCATGCAAAGATCTGCACTTTATAAAATAAGCCCTCTGGTTTGTTCTAAAGATCTTAAAGGTCGCTTCTTTCCTTCGCCTTTAGTTTGCTTCCACCACGCCTCCACGTTTCCCTGTGTATGTGTGGTTTTCAACTTGTCAGACATGACTGACGCTTTCAGAGACAAACAACTGCAGCAAACACACTAGGAACTATTTCTCAGCTTTAGAGATCTGAGCAGATCTCACCTTTAACACTATGAACCATAAAGCCTTTGGCACGGCTTGCAGCACTGTGGACTGCCCTCAAACATTTTGTCATCACCCCCATCCTCCTGCATGTCATGACTGCTGCTGTTCACTGTAGTGGATCAGATAGAAATCCTTTTCAAAATCAGGACAGGAATCAAGCAGGGCTGTGTCACAGCTCTCACTTACCACTGATCTAACTAGTACTCGTGCTATATCATCTGCTCCTATCAGGCGTAACCTTATTGCGTGGTTATTGCCCATTGTTGTTTTCTGGTATTGTTGTGATGAATAACTGGACAAATGTGGATGACTTAGACTGATATATCAGCCAATATTGACCTATAGTAGAGATATCGAGTGTATATAACACACTGTGGAAGGCAGCACAGAGTAAGAGAGAAGCACCAGCTCTCAGCATTGTCAACTAGAATTGGCTGTAGACAATGTATTGTATATGCAATTTTTTTCATATTTGTTTAAGAATGCAGCCTTCAGAATACCTCTGCATAGTCCTATCACTACACAATTCACATAGAAAATGTCAATTTTCTAACCAGCTCAAAATCCACTATATTGCTGCCATATAGGTAATCAGTGATTTTTTTCGCTTTAAAATCCAATATTGATCAAATAATTTTCAGTTAAGTTACTATAGAAGTATGTAATGCTTAGTGCTTAGACACCTAATGCTTAATAATGTAAGCATTAGGTGTCATATTCCACCATACCACTGTTGACCTAAATGAACAAAATGTACTAGCACATTCTCATAGGCTTGTGGAAAAGCATTCTGGAAAATGAAGCAAAGTATCATTGAGTGGTGGAGAGGGTGGAAGTCGGGAAAACCTTGGTGCAACAAAACAGGTAAATAGAAATTAACCCATCACAAGATAACAGAGGTGAAATTTCACTTTAAGGCAAGAAAGCAAAACTATTTCTATTTTTTCCTGTGTGCCAGAGAAAAGCAGTTCCTCACCTGCATTGTATGCCTGCCATGCTGAGCAGCCTTCTGGAAGCGACCATCTCCGGAGTGTCATGGTACTTATCAGAAAGAAAGACCACATCCCTAATACCTGGACAGAATGAGGGAGGGATAATATAGAGATGCAGAGGGCAGAAGTGCAGAATAAAGACCATTATTAGTCTCATCAGAGATGGGGTTCTTACTTAAGGAAGTGAATGGCAGTTGATAGCAGGAAGAGATGAAAAAGAGATGAATAAGAAGGAGATGATTTAACTGCTGTTTTTGTCTCCCTAGTATGGATACATATCTCTGTCCATTCAATTGTTTGGCTCTGAGCAAATATTTCATGCGAGTGCTGAGTAGATTTTCTGTAGATATTCATGCTCCCCAGAGTATCCAAGAATAGCAAACTTAGAAGTATGCTGTTCACGCTGACCCACACGTTTTACAGTAAAGTAAAATGAACATTTCAGACAGTGGGGATTTAGACAAGAGATGGTGAAATGAAGTTTAAATGAAGCATTTAGGGTTCAAGGCTTTATTCAAAACATTACCATATAACATTGCTACAAATAACCTGCACCTGAATATCTACATACACACAACACACCATACAGTGTGATGCAAAGAGCCTAATAATGAAAGCTTTTGCCTCCACACAGAGAGGTTCTCCGGTTGTATTCTCCTACTGGGACAAGACATTTTTCTGCTAATTTTAGGACAACAAATCTTATATAATATTATTGAAGGAATAGAAAGTAAACAAATAATCACAATAATTTAAAATAGTCCATTTTAAAAGACAACTGTCAATTGTAGCAGGATATCAATATATTGGATATTTTACATCAATGAAGAGCACAGATGAGTCTGGAGTAGGGATGTGCAAAATAACTCGACCAGTCAATTAAATAATGCTGTTCTCCCTAGTTGGCACCAGAAATACTAGTCACCTAAAGTAATTATTCCTATTTTATTCATGTAAAAATTGTACATTCATATACATGTACCAGTGTATATTTCAGTAGTATCCCAAATTTTAACAAAAATAAAAAAGAGACAAGAAGCAGTGTGTGTGTATGTGGGTGGTCAACACACCTGCCTGGATGATGAGCTTGGCACACTCGTTGCAGGGGAACAAAGCCACATACATGGTGCAGCCTTTCACATCAGCACTGTTCTTGTTCATAATGGCATTCAGCTCTGCATGGCACACTGTGGGACACAGTGTTGAGAGACATTGCAAGTTACTATATTACTTAAGGTTTAATTAGGCTGTGTCAAAAAAATAAAAAATATTGGTCATAAACAAACAAGCAGATTTGAAATACAAGAATCTGGTTCCTGTGATAGTGTGTTTTTATGACACTAGTGAAAAACACTTAATTCTCTCTTAAACTCATCATAAACATCGAACCAGTTTTTGTTTACATTTAGTTGAAAAAAGTCCCAATAAAAATTGTCCACAGTGACTGATTATCTGCAGATTATCCAAAATAATTGTGACAATGCTTCTGCAAAGAGATGTTGCTGTTACGGTTTTTTTATGCATTTTTCAATGCTTTGAGATTGGCCAGATTTCCATGGACTTGCTGATGGTACTCTGGATACCTGGTATCTCTGGATAAATCCAAATATGTTAACCTTTCCCCTAGTGCCATCATCAGACAATATATATATATATATTTCCAGATTTTTGCCTACTCTCCAGTGGCTGAATCTTGTAAACTTAAAGTAGTACTCCACCGATTTAGTACTGCACTGCTGTATAACACTGTCTGATCCACGATGGACAAGTTTAAAGGCTCAAAAGTAACAAGAGCAAGCAGAGTAGAGATATTGTCTTTTTTATTCAAAACTTGGCACCTACATTAGCCACAATGTATCCTATGTGCTGACAGTTCAGTTGGACATTTTTCCATTGTATTTTGGAGAAGCACAACTGTTATGATAGTAGCAGCAAACAGCCTCAAGATGCTAGCCTCAAACTGAGAGGAGTAAGTTACAGACATCTGGCAAGCTCACTTTAGCACAGTCTAGACCTGCTCTATTTGAAAAGTGTCCTGCCATTCAAACTTGTAGTCTTCAGCACTGACTAACATTTCCATTCGGTGTAACAGTACAGAATTTGTCCCAGACTATTCCGTACAGAACATTTGGTTTGGTATGAAACTTCCTTGGTTTGGTCCCCCTTGGGACCCAAATCACAATTACTCTTAAAATAACCCATTTATGTCTACTAATCACACACGCAAACAAGTAAAAAGTAAACTTTTGTATGATGAAAATTTTATAATATTGAGCATTATGTGACTTATATATAACTTGTAAACTTTGATACACACAAGAACACTTCCTTCCCACAGGCCATCACTCTGAGCTAACACAGTGATAGCATCATGTGCATGTTATTGTGCACTGTCACTAACTTGAATAAATATTAGAATATGAAAGCATTTCATCAATGGAGAAAGGTTGAGTGAGATATCTTCATCATCAATCCTCTACCACCCTCTACAGGCCAAAGGTTGGCACTCAGCATCATGGTGGGAACCATTAAAGGGGAACTTCGGCAGATTTTTACCCTAGTCTTGATCACTAGAGGTCACCGAGTACTTTCGATAGGAAAAAGAACGACCAGAATTGGTTCTAGCAAACTGGAGATCCTGCAGCTAATGGCCAGAGCTCCCAGTTAGTTATAATACACTTCTTGGGGGCATATCCTAAAGAGTGCCCTTTGTTCTTCTTAACAGACACAAAATGCAATTAAAATGTGTGTGCAACATGATCAGGGCCCTTACGTGACAACAACATGCCTTTTCAACTCATACGTTGTGCAGAAACCGTACAAAACAGTACTGTGGCCTACCTGTTTTTCCACCGCTAGCTTCACCGAAAGCCCAGAATAATCGATCACGGAGATAATGCCTTCACGACGAAAAAAAGTTTATTTCCCCCTCAAAAATGTCCATGTCTTCACACACTACTCTCCGATTTGCACACTTCCTGCAACAATTTCAAGAGCCGCGCTGAAGTCCCATGGGATTTCACTTGTTGCAGGTAAACGCAGAAGAAGAAGAGATTGTTGATCGGAGGTGTTCACAAGGGAAGAAGCTTGGAGAACGTGTGTTGTTGATCTACTGTGGAGAAGAAATGGTTCGCGTTTGTGCCTTTCCAAATTGTGGCAACAGAATGAGAAGGTACAAGTGCCTACACTTTCATCGTCTAGCTTTCCATGACCATGAGATACTGCAGTTGTGGCTAGTTGTTCTTCAGCTGGATGTGCAAACTCCCATACAAGTACCATGCAAAAATGATCACCGCATTTGCAGCGAACATTTTGAGGAGGATGACTACAGAGACACAACACAGCAGGGCCGGCTGAAGAGAAATGCCATTCCGAGGATGAAGACTGCTGCACTACTGTGGAGGTAATGTTATATTAATAACTTCATTTAGCTTCGTTTTGGCAGACACGGCTTGAGAAGGGATGTGCGGCAACACATTTTCGTCGTGAAGGCATTAACTCCGTGATTGATTATTCTGGGCTTTCGGTGAAGCGAGCGGTGGAAAAACAGGTAGGCGACAGTACTGTTTTGTAAGGTTTCTGCACAACGTATGAGTTGAAAAGGCATGTTGTTGTCACGTAAGGGCCCTGATCATGTTGCACAGACATTTTAATTGCATTTTGTGTCTGTTAAGAGGAGCAAAGGGCACTCTTTAGGATATGCCCCCAAAAAGTGTATTATAACTAACTGGGAGCTCAGTGGGGTATTGCACAAAAGTAGGATAAGGAAATCCAGGATAAGTGAGCAAGCGCGGTTTGACTTAGCCTGCTCGGCGCATCCTGGCTTGATTGGTTGCATGTTTGCCAAGCCAGGATTAAAAGGTGCGGCTATGTTAAGCCAGGTGTAGATAGTCGGGACAAGTGCGTGTTCACGGCATACTGAAATAGACCTCGCGATCACTCACAGAATCACCGATGGGAACATGAATAAGAGTCGCGCTTCATATTTCACGGCCGCTGAACAACAGCTCCTGATGGAGTTCTATGAAGAGGTGGAAGATATCATAAGAAAAAAAGGCAATACCAATGCCATAATTAAAGAAAGAGAGAAAGCCTGGCAGACAATAGCGGACCGGCTTAATGCTTAAGTAGTCCAAAACTGTACAATTAATAAACAGTGCTCCACTGGAACTGTCATAATTAGGCTACAATTAAAGGACTAAAGGAGTTACTTTAAGTCCACTAATCAACTGTTGTACACTTTGCTTTAAATGTGGCAAGTAGAGGTGCATGTTACTCAGAAAATGTAAAGTATGATTAAGTGCAAACAATTATCCACAATGTGTGTCATTTAACTTATTTTTATCTATTTTATCTTTCTATCCTTCATAAAGAACAAACTTGTCTGGCCATAAAAGGACCTGGCAGCAAGTTAAAATTAAATACAAGAACATTTTGCAGGCTGGAAAGTGACTATAAAGTAGATAACAGTGAATAAATGAGGTGAATAGATTAGGTGTCTGCTGACATGTTGAATGTCTGTATGATTGTAGCAGTTAAAAAAAAAGCCCATAGAACTGGCACAGGGGGCGGCCCACCGAGCCAGGATATGTGCTGCAAATGGTTCCTTTATTGAGGTTCTCTGCATCCCCAACAGAATAAAGGAAGCTCCCACTTGCAAAACATCTCAATGTAACACAGACCATCTGTGGTACAGTGAGAGCATGGCTTCCTGCGGTCTGGTGCTGTATTTTTGGACCCAGCAGCCTACATAAATATCTTAGTTCATCACCTGAGAATCTGTATCTCTCAATGAGATAGTCATCTCCAACGGCCAATGGGTCTGACCTGTCCCGGAAGACTCTTTCATGACTAAATGCTCGTCTGAGGATTAGGGCTTCCTCATCTAGCACATCCTCCAAAAAAGGGCAAGCCATTATGAAGATATATATATATATATATATATATATATATATATATATATATATATATATATATATATATATATATATATATATGATATATATTTATGGCATGCCGTTTAGGAAATGAAGCTTTGAATATATGGAATTAATCTTGGATATATGGAATTAATCTTGGATATATGGAATGAAGCTTGAATATACTGATAAAAATGTGAGAATACTGAATGAAATTCAAAACCTAGTTGTATCCTTTTCATCAAAGTGATAGCCTTCTGAATTAGCTGGTTTTACAAAATGGCATCAGTTGAAATATTACAATACTTTCTTAAACTGGAAAACCTTTTTGCTTTTTCTGTCAGGATTTAGCCTAAGGCCTGTTGTAGTCGGCCTGCCACCATTAAAAAGGAAGTGAACTTCTTCGTCAGGAGAACGGTATTGGGCACGGGTACTATGGGAAGGATTTTGGCCCGTACAAGCACTTGCCAATGAGTTAATAATGTCCTCATTGCTCAGTATTGCTGCCACAAGGTTCCTGACTGACTCATTCTCACTTCTACAAGATGACAGCAGTGTCTTGATGACCAGTTAAGTTTCATTCCATACATTCAAAGATTCATTCCATAAATTCAAAGATTAATTTTATATATTTAAAGATTAATTTCCTAAACGGCATGCCATAATATATATACTACATTGCCCTTGTCACAGATTTCATTGAAAACACCTTTGCAACTTCCTCAGCTGTGTTTTGTAATCTCAATTACTGCAATAAAACACATATTTATGCATTTTGACGAGCAGTCTTCATTAGCATAGCAATATAACACTTGTCCTGAGTAATAATACTACCACTTGAATCAATATAAAAAGACTGTTGCAATTACAAACAGCCTTTAAATGCCATTTAAATGAAATAAGAAATGACAATATATATGTAATATTTTAATGCAGGATAATTAAAATGATGCAACATACTTAGAAAGACCATGGACATGCTGTAAAACACATTAATTCCTCACAGGATTGATGATGGAAATACAGGTGAATCACTAGGATTAATCTTAGCCTGGCTGTTAGCCTGGTCTGGAGCAGGCTAACTGCAGAGAATAAATCACCATAGTAACTTGGCCGGGATAAGTTTAACCTGCTTTCATGCAACCGACTTGAGGCTAAATTAAGCCAGGATAACATATCCTGGCTTAATCCCTTATCCTGGTTTTGTGCAATACCCCTCTGGCCATTAGCTGCAGCATCTCCAGTTTGCTAGAACCAATTCTGGTCGTTCTTTTTCCTATCGACAGTACTCGGTGACCTCTAGTGATCGAGACTAGGGTAAATATCTGCCGAAGTTCCCCTTTAATGAATTACAGCCTTTCCTGCACACACAAATGCCTTTAAAACTGGATTATGTTCAGACCAGAAATTCTGCCCCACAATATAATTTGAATACTATGTAGTTTTGTGCTGTGGTGGATGAAAAGTACTAAAGTTGAAGAACTGTTTGCAATCATATTTTTTTCCTGGAGTCAAACAGAAAGCGAAAAGAAGTATGTGGGCATTCTCACCATACGGGTATTTAGTGTCAAGCCGGTCATCTGCAGAACGGGACCAGGGTAGCAGGTCATCATCACAGCCATTGGGCATACCATTGTATCCAATGCCAACTATCTTATTCTCCTGGTTTACTATACATGCCCCCACCTGCAGAGAGGGAGAAAAGTTCCACAGTTGAGTACAGCTGTAAATCTTTAAAGATATCAAACAATCCAGTGCAACAGTGGTACCCAACCTTTTACATTTTTCATCCCTTTTCCATCCTTGAGTAACTAACTAAGTTGAGTAACTAAATTACATATTTTATGGATATTTCATATTATATTAAATGCATAACAATACAGACAATTAATCCAAACAGTGAAAACAACAAATGCAGGAAGTTTGTGTAAAGCAAGCTGTTTGGAGGAATTTTGAGCAGATTATTCTGCATAACAAATTATTTATAATAATAATTCATTAATATAGGAATTATACCACATGAACATGGTATAATGTCAAATGTATTTTTTGTTTGCTTTGTTTAAGATTTTTGCACAAAAATTAAATGTGGCATTATATTATATCTTGTGCAGTATCATTTGTATGAGTTACACATGATGTGGGGCAAGTAGCATAGTATTATTGTTAAATTAATCATTACGATGTAAAATATAGATATACATTTCATGTGGGAAATAAATATTATAAATGAGTGGAGCTTGTTTATTTTTGTATAGTGACATATTGTGGCAGCACAGATTGTTGTTGTTGTGAGTTTTCAGTGCCAGTCTGTCTGTTGACAATTCTCAGCTCAATCTGTAAACAATACTACAGACAGTTTTTTTCTGGTTTTGCCTTTGACAGGAATGCCGAATCTGAATGACACCTGGGATCTGTATGCCTGCACAGTATGTATGTCATTACATTATATGCAGTAAATCTGAGAGACTCAATATTCATTCTTGTACAGAGACCAAGAAAAACTTCTCACTTGACATAAACTAATCATTGGAATTATAACCCATATAATGTCCCTTTCCTATATTGGAATGGAGACTTGGTACACAGCTCCCTTACCTAAGGCCCTATGACAACTACATGACACAAGGTAACCTTACCGTCAGTTGTGAGTTGCCTACCTGTTTGTTGTGATGCCTTCTGTGATTGATCAACAAAAACTATGTCTTCAAAATCAATTGGACACTTTACATCTTTGTGAAGTATCTCATTATTTACAGCTGTAATACACACACATACCTGTGAGCTTGGGTCTTTGCTCCTTTGGGCTGACAGAAAGGCTACAGCCATGAAGTACTCTGGCCATTCCAGGTACTCTTCTCTCTTCCTGGTTGTGCCACTACAGAGAAACACACAAAAAGACAGAAAGAGGATGTAACGTTTTGTGAGCCAAGATCTATCTTTTAGACCATTTCCACTGCTTTCCATTTACTGAAATAACAGCTCATTTGTGAGCAGAAATCCCTTCTGTTTACACATCTATCCAGACTCTACCCTATGTTTGATTTCAACTTGTATTACCTGATGTCTACATACACAGTAAATTGATAATCATTTGCAACAATATTACCATCATAAACAGTCACTTCATAATACCACAGTCATCTGTGGAAAAAGCCTAAAGTGCATAATCTTCAGTGAAAGCTTAACATAATAGCTCTCAGTCTGCCTCTCTTACAAGCACTAGGGGAACTGGCAGTTTAATTAACTGAAACCTCCTCTCTGTTCTTTGTGCACAAGCTTCGCTAAAAAATATGTTTTGGCCTTATGTTAGCACGGCTTTGGTAACATGCCCAGTGGCTCTTTGACTTCTGGCTTAATCTCAAAGTGGAAACCCTGTATCAACACTTACAGCAGGTCAAGGGCGAGACTGACAATTACTGAACGTACATCGTAAAACAAAACAAATAACTTAATTATTAATAATTTTCTTTCTTTCTTTATTGCTTAATCATTTAATCTATACAACGTCAAACATGTGGATCACAAAGTAATGTATTTAAAAGGACCAGTGTGTAAGATTTAGCGGCATCTAGTGGTGTAAATGAAGATCACAACTGTGCCTCTTCCTCCTCCCCTCCCAAGGGCGAAAGAGAGACTTCGGTGGCTGTGAAACGTGCAAAAAACGCCACTACCTACAGCCAGTGTTTGGCAACATTACTGTTCCATGCAGACTATTCATATATGTGTCTTAATACATTTTGGAGGGGGTCTTTAAAAGGTCCAGTGTGTAGGATTTAGAGACATGTCGCTGAGTAGTGCAGATTGCAACTCCTTTGCTTCACTCTCAGTGAACCATAGCAGTTCAATATGGAAGATGACCCGTGGCATATATAGATATAAAAGGCTAATTTTAACAATTCTTATCTTAAGGTGATTATACACTAATGAAAACATAGTTATGCATAATTGCAGATTTAAAATGTAAGACTTGTATTTGTTTGTTTTGTTTCTTTGTTTTGTTTCTTTGTTTCTTTGTCTTTTTCTCAGGCTGGTGTTTTAATTATGAGAAAGTAAAATCCTGAAAAATACTCCTTCTCCTCCTTCTCGGCGGATGTTTGTGCCTCGCTTGTTGAATGTACGTCAGACAAAAATATAAAACGTGTTACCCATTTAGTTGGCCGGGTGTCGGTGGCTGAATTTCTTCCATAGTCTTTCAAGTATTAGTTACTCCAGGTTCAGCTAACGTTAGCTACTTTTCTCTGTAGCTGTATGTGCTGCACGCGAGAGTCAGCCGGGCAAAACGACACGCGACGTCAAACATGCAGGAAGCAGGAAGTAATCGCCCGCGCCTATCTGTACACAAACTATCCCTGACTTTTGCCTTCAAGGACAAACTCGGACTCCTTCGCTAGCACTCGACGACTCCACTCACAACCATTGAACATCATGCATGTAAGACTAACTTCTAACAGTAGTAAAGTAGATGGAGTAGTAAACAGAAAGTAGGTACAGACAGCCTGGAAGGCCTAATCCGGGGCAAAATATTCTTGTATTTCTTCTTCGGGAAGGTGGCTGCTGAAGGGGCGTGTCCAGTATCTGTATTCGGAAACGCCGGCAAAGTACTACTATTTATGGAAGCCCATTTCCGCCAGTAAAAAAAAATTTTATGAGATAATAAGTCGAAATTATGAGATAAAAAGTCATAATTATGAGATAATAAGTCGAAATTATGAGATAATAAATCGAAATTATGAGATAAAAAGTCATAATTATGAGATAATAAGTCGAAATTATGAGATAATAAATCGAAATTATGAGATAAAAAGTCATAATTTTGAGATAATTAATCGAAATTATGAGATAAGAAGTGCACATGCGCCTCAATGGCTGTTGGCAATATATTCACAGATTCGCACTTCCTGCATCAATAACTCATAATCGGGACATTTTTAAAACACAGCCTATGCCTCTTTCCAACCGTAGTAAAGCACACAAGGAGCTACAACCTCATTTTCATCAAAACAAGCCGCTCGAATAACATTGATCTCTATGTACACCCGGCTGTGAGACGAGTGCGCAGGGACCATCAACAATTTTCAATAACGAAAAGAGATATCACAATATATTAAATAACTGTACTCTCACATATTGTAGCCTCAACAAAATCACTGTATACATCATTTGATTTTTATCTCATAATTTCGATTTATTATCCAATACTAGTCAGTATCGCCGATACCGACACAGATACCAACAGAAGAACACTTTGTCATATATTATATGTTTTGACCAAAAATGCTTTTTTTTTGCATTTTTCAGCATCCCCCAATATTCCCTCAAAAATCTCCAACTGTCTATGTGTCTTCCCTTTACAAACATGCCCACACCACTGCACACTATTCCACTGCAGTTTTTGAATGCATTTCACCTGATGTATTTGGATATTTCTGCACAGTGGAGTTCCTAAACAGTATGGGAATGACATTATACTTGATATGGTTGGAGAGATGAGACTCTTGTGGATCCAATGAACCCAATTGTATTCATGTGTGATGATGTAGCAATAGTAGCCATTTCATTGTAGTGAGAACATTTTTTGAAACTTGACTTCACTTTCTAAAATGAACTATTGTGACCTCTAGGATAATCACAGCCTCATGAAACTGTACAATCACAAACTACAGACAAGGCGGGTTACTCAGTCCATTTTGTTGTTATTCAGTATTAACCTGGGGGCTCTCAGCAAGTCTATGAGTTAAGTTTAATTTTGTTACTTGACACTCAAAAGTTGTGTCTTGACAGAAGAGGGGGAAAGGAGAGATTGCTGTCCGCACATGTAGAATTTTGTAATGTTGTGGGCAATTAGAAGCAATGTCACAGAGTGACCAACTGGCAAACAATGCTTATGAGTTCTTTAAACAGGCCAGATAGAAGATGTAAGAACATATTTTAACTGTCATGATTTATCCACATACAAGTGTAGATTTCTGAATGCACCAATTGGAAAATTCTGGGCCGATGCAGATATTTAAAATAACAATTTGGAAAAACAGCATTATCTAGAGCCAGTGTTTGTTTTGTCTGTTTTGGGCTACTGTAGAAACAACCTGCATCATCTGGAGACAACATCATTCTAAGGTAACGTAAACACAACAATTCTTTTTCTCAGGTGATTATACACTAATAAAAACATACATATGAATATTATATTCCATTTCTGATCTTCCTAAATGTTACACACTGGACCTTAAAAAGGAAATAAATGTGGGAGCATCCACAAGGGTAGGCAACAAGGGCAAAGTGTCAGGTAAAGTCAAGATATTTTTGAGTTTTCCTTTGGGCAAAGCAAGAAGACATAGAGAAAAGAGGCATCAAAGTCCCTTTCAATCTCATCAGTCTTCTACCTCATTCAGGGTTTGCGTCTTGCCATGGTCATGCTGTTTTAGGGTCGTAGAAGGATTTGAAGTCAAAACGAATGTCAGCCCTCTGGGGCTGGAACTCCCCTGAAAGAAAGTTTCCTTTTCATTTTCTTTTGAAATCCTACTTTCATCTCATCTGCTCAAACTTCAAAACTAAAGTGCTATTTTAGAGGTTAAAATAAATGTTATAAAATATAAAAATAACCATAAAGCCTACTACTACAGTTACTATTATTACTACAGTCACTGTTCATTGTCCCCCATCGTTGTTGTTGTTGTTGTCGTCATCATCAGTCACTACCATTAGTGTAGTTGTTGCTACTGTTGTTGCTGTAAATGGTAAATGGACCTGTACTTGTATAGCGCCTTTCTAGTCTTCCGACCACTCAAAGCACTTTTTACACTACGTGCCACTTTCACCCTTTCACACACCTCCTTGGAATGGCGCCGGCGACAACGGCAGCCTGTCATGGCAACTCCTATCATTGTTGTAGTTTTAGTGTGTTTTCAGTGTGTCTTTAGCCTGTGTTTTTTTTCTATTTTTAACTGTTTTCTTACTTTCTTAATACTTTGTTCACGTCGCCTAAATACTTTTTTGGCGTTTTTGAGCACTTTTAATGTTTTGTTTGCACATGATCGCCCTGAGGCACCCTAGCATCCTGACCAGAGAGAGACCCTCCATACCGGAGGAGCTGAGGAGGAGACTGCGAGGCTGCAGAGCGGGGGTTAAACGGAGGATGAAGAAGAGGAGGTTTAAACCCTACATCCCTGCAGTCATCACTGGAAACAAACGTGGCTACAGGAGCAGATACCGAACTCCAACGTCACCATTCCCGGCTTCCAGATGGTTCGAGCCAAAAGGGACACCACCACAACCGGCAAGAAGAAAGGAGGGGGACTGGCCGTGCTCATAAACAACAGGTGGTGTAACCCTTGGTACGTCTGTGTGAAAGCCCGGACATCGAGCTTGTCGCTGTCGGACTTCGTCCATGTTATCTGCCACAGGAATTTTCCAGTGTTATCGCCATCACTGTCTATGTTCCTCCGTCTGGGAAAGCAGAAGCAGCGTGTGACGTCATCCACACTGTGACTGCAGGACTACAAACGAAACACCCAGAGGCCTTCATCATCATCACAGGGGACTTCAACCACGTTTCTCTCTCGTCCACACTCCCACCTTCCACCAGTTTGTCACATACACTACCAGACACAATAAGACCTTGGACCTGCTGTATGCATATGTTCCTGTTTTTTATATCTGTAGCCTATTTATTTCCTACTCAAATGTTGCTGTGACAAGTGAATTGTGGGATTAATACTTTAATAAAAAAAGTTATCTATCTATCTACATTCACACAGCCATGGCAAAGTCCATCAAACAGAAACTAACGCATTCATACACATTCAAACAGCAATGCGGGGTTCAGTATCTTGCTCAAGGATACTTCGATGTGTGGCGGCAGGAGCCGGGTATCAAGCCAACAACCTTCCGATTAGAGGACGGCCGCTCTTCCTCTGAGCCACAGCTTCCCCAAGCTGTGTACATCTCTGCCGTTGCCAAGTGCTTGCTCATGGTGGGAATTGTTGAGTCTCTGTAAATCATTTTATGAGGAACTCGGTCTAGACCTGCTCTATTTGAAAAGTGTCCTGAGATAACTTCTGTTATTCAATTTTATTTGTATAGCACCAATTCATAACAGAAGTTATCTCAGGACACTTTTCAAATAGAGCAGGTCTAGACCAGACTCCTTATAACATTTACAGGGGCCCAACAGTACGACCATGAGCAAGCACTTGGCGACGGGGCAAGGAAAAACTGCCTTTTAAGAGGCAGAAACCTAGGACAGATCCTTCGGCTCTAGGTGGGTGGTCGTCTGCATCGACCAGTTGGGGTGAGAGAGAGAGAGAGAGGGGGGAGAGAGAGAGAGAGAGAGAGAGACAAACAGACAGGTGCACAGCAACAACAGTACTGGCAATGGCAATGTAGCAGGACCATGGCAGGAGGCTCCACCAGGATCGACAAGAACCTGCGAGATGAGAAAGCACAAGAACTCCGGGGAAGAAGTGAAGTTAGTAACATGCATTAATGGAACATGAATGAGTGCAGAAAGAGAGAGGAAGGGAGGAGCTCAGTGCACCATGGGAAATCCCCCGATAGTCTAGGCCTATAGCAGCATAACTAAGGAATGGTTCAGGACTCACCTGATCCAGCCCTAACTATAAGCTTTATCAAAGAGGAATGTCTTAAGCCTACTCTTGAATGTGGTGAGGGTGTCTGCCTCCCGAACCAGCTCTGGCTCCTGTTCTACTTTTAGAGACTATAGGAACCACAAGTAGCCCAGCATTCAGAGAACGTAGTGTTCTAGTGGGGTAATAGGGTACTATGAGCTCTTTAAGATATGGACCTGTAAATGAACCTGTACTTGTATAGCGCCTTTCTAGTCTTCCGACCACTCAAAGCGCTTTTACACTACGTGCCACATTCACACCCATTCACTCAGTGATGGCAAAGTCCATCGAGCAGAAACTAACATTCATACACACTCACACACCGATGCACGGCATCGGGAGCAATTCGAGGTTCAGTATCTTGCTCAAGGATACTTCGACATGTGGCACCAGGAGCCGGGGATCGAACCCACAACCTTCCGATTGAGGAACGACCTCCTGAGCCACAGCCGCCCACATATGAAGGGGCCTGACCATGAAGAGCTTTATAGGTGAGGAGGAGGATTTTAAATTCTATTCTACATTTTACAGGGAGCCAATGCAGAGCAGCTAGTACAGGAGAGATGTGATCTCTTTTCCTAGTTACTGTCAGTACTCGTGCTGCAGCGTTCGAAATTAATTGGAGCGTTTTAATGGACCTATTGGGGCAAACTGAAAAATAAAGAGTTGCAGTAATCCAGCCTTGAAGTAACAAATGCATGGATTAGTTTTTCTGCATCTGTCTGTGATAGGATGTGTCTAATTTTTCTAATATTACGTAAATGAAAGAAGGCAGTCCTAGAGGACTGCTTTATGTGGGAGTTAAATGACAAATCCTGATCAAAGATAACTCCAAGATTCCTGACAGTGGTGCTAGAGGCCAAGTTAATGCCATCTAGAGTAACTATATCTTTAGACAATGAGTCTCTAAGGTTTTTGGGGCCAAGAACAAGAATTTCATTTTTTTCTGAGTTTAACATCAGAAAATTGCAGGTCATCCAGGATTTTATGTCCTTAAGACATGTTTGTAATTTAGATAATTGATTAATTTCATTGGGCTTGATTGATAGATATAACTGCGTATCATCTGCATAACAGTGAAAGTTAATGGAGTGATTCCTAATAATGTTGCCTAAAGGGAGCATATATAAAGTAAATAGTATTGGTCCAGAACCTTGTGGAACTCCATGACTAACTGTAGTATTTATTGAAGATTCATCATTAACATGTACAAACTGCGAGCGATCTGATAAATATGACTTAAACCAGCTTAGTGCGGTTCCTTTAATGCCAATTTGATGCTCAAGTCTCTCTAAAAGAATATTATGGTCAATGGTGTCAAATGCAGCACTAAGATCTAATAATACAAGTACAGACACAAGTCCATTGTCAGAAGCAGTCAGAAGGTCATTATTAACTTTAACCAGAGCTGTCTCTGTGCTATGATGAACTCTAAATCCTGACTGAAAATCCTCAAATAAACTATTGTTATGTAGAAAGTCACACAACTCTTTGGCGACTACTTTCTCCAGAATCTTAGAGAGGAAGGGGAGGTTAGAAATCGGTCTATAGTTGGCTAAAACCCCTGGGTCAAGAGTGGACTTTTTAAGAAGGGGTTTAATTACAGCTACTTTAAAGGACTGTGGTACATAACCTGATAATAAAGAAAGATTAATCATATCCAGTAAAGAAGTGCCAATTAAGGGAACAACTTCTTTAAGCAGCCTAGTTGGGATCGGGTCTAATAGACAGGTTGATGGCTTCGATGAAGAAATGATTGAAGTTAACTGATGAAGATCGATAGCAGAAAAACAGTCTAAATATATATCTAAGTTTACATTGACAGAAGTCCCTGAACTTGGAGAGCCACTGATAACTGTTGATGGCAGTTGGTGATACATTTTTTCTCTAATAGTAATAATTTTATTATAGAAGAAGCTCATGAAGTCATTGCTACTTAAGTTTATGGGGATATGTGGCTCAATAGAGCTGTGACTCTCTGTCAGCCTGGCTACAGTGCTGAAGAGGAACCTAGGGTTATTCTTATTTTCTTCTATTAGTGCTGAGTAATAGGCTCCTCTGGCATTACGGAGGGCCTTTCTATAGGTTTTAAGATTATCTTGCCAATTTGAGTGATATTCTGATAATTTGGAAGAGCGCCATTTCCTCAGATTTCCTAGCTGGAATATCTACATAGGTGTACAGAGGCCCATTTCCAGCAACCATCACTCCTGTGTTCTCAATGGTACATTGTGTTAGCTAATCGTGTTAAAAGGCTAATTGATGATTACAAAACCCTTGTGCAATTATGTTAGCACAGCTGAAAACTGTTGTGCTGATTAGAGAAGCTATAAAACTGGCCTTCCTTTGAGCTAGTTGAGTATCTGGAGCGTCAGCATTCGTGGGTTAGATTATACTCTCAAAATGGCCAGAAAAAGATAACTTTCTTCTGAAACTCGACAGTCTATTCTTGTTCTGAGAAATGAAGGCTATTCCATGCTAGAAATTGCCAAGACACTGAAGATTTCCTACCATGGTGTGTATTACTCCCTTCAGAGAACAGCACAAACAGGCTCTAACCAGAATAGAAAGAGAAGTGGGAGGCCCCGGTGCACAACTAAGCAAGAGGACAATTACATTAGAGTCTCTAGTTTGAGAAATAGACGCCTCACATGTCCTCAACTGGCAGCTTCATTAAATGGTACCCGCAAAACGCCAGTCTCAACGTCCACAGTGAAGAGGCGACTCCGGATGCTGGCCTTCTAGGCAGAGTGGCAAAGAAAAAGCCATATCTGAGACTGGCCAATAAAAGGAAAAGATTAAGATGGGCAAAAGAACACAGACATTGGACAGAGGAAGATTGGAAAAAAGTGTTATGGACAGATGAATTAAGTTTGAGGTGTTTGGATCACACAGAAGAACATTTGTGAGACGCAGAACAAGTGAACAGATGCTGGAGGAGTGCCTGACGCCATCTGTCAAGCATGGTGGAGGTAATGTGATGGTCTGGGGCTGCTTTGGTGCTGTTAAAGTGGGAAATTTGTACAAGGTAAAAGGGATTTTGAATAAGGAAGGCTATCACTCCATTTTGCAATGCCATGCCTTACCCTGTGGACAGCGCTTGATTGGAGCCAATTTCCTCCTACAACAGGACAATGACCCAAAGCACACCTCCAAACTATGCAAGAGCTATTTAGGGAAGAAGCAGTCAGCTGGTATTCTGTCTGTAATGGAGTGGCCAGCACAGTCACCAGATCTCAAGCCTATTGAGCTGTTGTGGGAGCAGCTTGACCGTATGGTACGTAAGAAGTGCCCATCAAGCCAATCCAACTTGTGGGAGGTGCTTTGCGAAATTTCTTCAGATCACCTCAACAAATTGACAGCTAGAATGCCAAAGGTCTGCAAGGCTGTAATTGCTGCGAATGGAGAATTATTTGACGAAAGCAAAGTTAAAGGACAAAATTATTATTTCAAATAAAAATCATTATTTTCTAACCTCGTCAATGTCTTGACTATATTTTCTATTCATGTTGCAACTTATTTGATTAATAAAAATGTGAGTTTTCATGGAAAACATGAAATTGTCTGGGTAACCCCAAACTTTTGAACGGTAGTGTATGAGGAAGAGACAGTAGGTACAATGGTGTTTTGAAGTTAAAACTAATTATTTTTCCCTTTTGCAGGTGGTTCCACATACAGTGCCTACAAATGGACACAGCAGAGCTGCAAAATAAGAAGAATGTGGACTGGAATTGCATTTTGTGTGAAAAGTAAACAAATTAGAATTGTGTAGGATTTTGTGTTTAGTGCTTAGTCTTTATATTATCATTTTTTTATAAGATGTTTTTAAACATTTGTGTGAAATTTTGTCATGATTACTGCATCATTATTGAAGTATAAAGAAAATGCTTCACCCATAGCCTGGAAATATTGAGCGATATGTTTTTACAGTAGCTCAAATATAAGAAAATATGGAATCTGGAATAAGTGCGGCTGATTTGACCACGGAGATCGGAGTCACGGCTGGATTGACCGCAGTCTACTAGCCTACTGTTTCTTCTACACAGCACCGTCCTGTAAATGACAACATCCGGTCTCAGAATATGAAAAAACAGGCCTTTTTTCCGTTTCTGTTT